TATATTGGTATATATATATATAGATGAGGTGTTTGGCAAAGTCTTAATGCTATGTGTATAAAACCGAACATCCTGTGTATATATAATATGACGTGAATTGATATATAACAATATACATATATCAAAATTCATGTCATATTGTTTTATTGATTATAAAAGGCGATTTTTGGCGTGCCTCTGGTATAGCAACCAAAAGCAACCGTGGTTGAAGCTATCTTTGTCTTCTGATCCCTGAAAACAAAGATAGCCTTAGTCGCGGTTACTTTTGGTTGCCATACCAGAAGCACGCTAAAAATCGCCTAAAATAAGATTCAAAATTTTTTAATTTTTTACAATATGTGCAGTTTCATATTTTTTCTAATAAGGGTAGATTCCAAAACATCCTCTTCGAGGAAAATTTTACTCGAAATATTAGTACACGTATAGTATATAAAGTAAAATCTTCCTCGGAAAGGAATATAGACTAAGAATTATATTAATTTTTATCATACTATTATATACCAATATTTTCTTTTAATATAAATAACGATTTTTGTAGTAGTTTGTAGTAATATAGAATAGATTTATTAATAAAAAATCAGTGTAAATGTTTATAAATATATATATTTATTCCTATGTATGTATGTATATATATACATACATACATCACATTTGAAATCGTAAATAATATGAAAATTGAAATAAATTATTTGTCTTAAAATAGTTCTACAGTGAATCGAGTGAATTAGAAAAACTTTTTAATATAAATAAATAACTTGAAGTACTGAACTTGATGTGTGTAAAATTCTAGACTAGGTTTTCGATGAAATAAAAGAAAAAAAAAATATTGAAAATGTAATTTTTAACGTATAAAAAAACCTAAGTGACAGATAAGGATCAAGATTTATTCTTTGACTAACTACTTACAAATATTACATAGATTTCTCTCAAAAACGAAATTATAATATAAAAAAAATTACGGCTGTATATAGTCACGAAAAAGTAATAGGTTATCGCCCGTTCAAGATGTTTCAGAAAAGTATAGTTTAGCCATAATTAAGTTGTAAGTGACGATATGTATTGGCGAGAGCACTTATACTTTTAGACCATAAGAATAGAGGCGCAAATGGTTGTGGATCAAGACACTTGGTAGAAAATTACTTAGTAGATAATTATGCAGTATAACGCCCCTACTTATGATTTTTTAGTCATTTCATAAATTTGTGTATTTTTATATGTAGAATATATTCTCAGAAGAAAAATTGTCACTCAAGTTTAATTTTTTCATTATTTTATTTTGAAGTTTTTTTGAAATGTCGATGACATTTGACTGTTTATTATGAGGCTCTTATTTTTTAATTATTATTTATCAAATATTAAACAAGTATAAACAATGTTCACGAGCATATGAACGTCAAATAGGGAGATGGGGGCGCATCCCTAATAAAATATGTAATTATCACCTATTTTACTTGATTTTACCTTCCAAAAATATTTAATATTAGAAAGTGTAACACCGTAAAAAAAATTCATAAGATTTTAAATGAAATGTCTAAAGAATCGGTAGAAAGGGAAATAATAAATATAAAAATCCATAATTTTTTTCACGACAAAGATGTTTATTCGGTATTACTGTACAGTTTTTTCTTTTTTTCTCTCGTCAAGAACAATTTCAATAACGTGCGTATACGGCGGCATAACAATGATGAATTCTTTGGATGACAAAAAGATAGTCGAAAAATGTACTGTCACATAGGACACTCTCACACAGTACGTACGTGCGTATATGGGTATGCGGGTGAGATTGTCGCTCTTTTTTGAAATTTTAACTTTCAATGTCATATTCATTCGTTATACTGAAATTCATTTCATAACAATGTGAGTTATACGCTACATGAGACAATAGGCCATGAAATTATTATAAATAAGCTGAAGACTTGGATGAAATTACGGAGGTTCGTACAACGATGTGTTATTTCTTATTCATTTTCGCACCATTGCACTCTACCGAATCATGAAAAATCTGAGCTTCTCTAATGATTTCATGGCATCCCGCGCAACCAGAGACAATTATCGCCTTTATCATAGAGCTAGACGATACTGCCTTGGCAGTGACGCACTAAAACTATATCAGCAATATCTTGTGCAGATATCATGGCTTAAAAGGCGAATAGGAGCAGAAAAGCCATCATAAGACAAAATAGACCCATGGCTTCAGATAAAGCGAAGCCCAAGATAGCGTATGAGAACAGTTGTTGCTTCAAGGAAGGATTCCTGGCATAGCCAATGATCAGTGACCCAAATACAGATCCAATTCCAGCACCTGGAATAGCAAATCATTGACTATTGCAGAATGGATACTATCTCCTATGACAAAGTGATTTTATTGAGAGAATCCTGAATATTTAAGCAAATATACTATATATACAATACATTATATAACTTTTATCTATATACATACATATTTTACTTAATGAAATATCAGAATATAAATTGAATAAATAAATATACTTTTCTAACAAATTACATGCAATAAATATATAAGATCACATTATAACTTTACTTGCATGAGAAGGGATATGTTTCAGGATGTGGGATTCAAAAGGCAAATAGTATAAGGAACGCTATCATTAAGCAAAAGAGGCCCATTGCTTCAGATAGCGCAAATCCAAGAATAGCATAGTTAAAAACTTGCTGTTTCAGGGAGGGATTACGTGTGTAACCGATAATTAAGGATCCGAAAACCAAACCAATACCCACTCCTATAATACATAATTTCTTTAAATATAATGTAAATTTAAATAACAAAACATAATTCAATAAATTTTTATTCTATTGTTTACAATTTATTAAAAAGAGATTTAGGCTGGTATTCATAGACGATTCTTATATTTCAGACTGCCTTAAGCCGTAATCACACTACGGGTTGCGCGCTCTGTTGCGATTGAGCTCTGCTCTGATTGGTTAGTTTCCAACATTCAACCGTAATCTCAATCGCAACAGAGCGCGCAATCCGTAGTGTGATTACGGCTCAAGTATAGTCTTACAATGTCATAAGCTATAAGTTATAATCAGAAGGTTCTATCTTAAGATATTATTTAAAATGACCTTAAAATAAAAATATATTATGAATATTGCCCTTAATACAAATTTTTTAAATAGTTTAATTTCTCATCTTAATATCAATAGTAAATCTATAAAATAAAATTTAATGCACATTAAAAAGCATGAAAAAAACATAAATTAATGAAAAAAATACGACATTAATGATGATTTAACTAATTTTTTGTAATTATATTATTTGAAAGAAAATCATTCTAATTCTAGGATTCTTATATAAGTAAAAAAAAATTATAAATAAAAAAAATAATCAAATGTCATTAGAAAAATGTGTATTAGATGTAGTATTATTAAAAAATTAGTATTATATACAAAAAATTGTACGATTAATTCAAATTAATCATTTATAAATAAATATGTCTCATTGGTAGATTTATTACTGTATAAATTTTATTATTACTATGTTTTATTATCTTTCATGTTATTGTAAAAAATGCATTAATTAATAGTTGATAATTTTATACATAATTTTATAGATACATACCAGACCCTGCTACTCCCACAGTAGCAGCACCAGCACCAATAAATTTTGCAGCAGAATCGATGTCACGACTGACTGTAGAAGTTTGGAAGCTACGTACAATAGGTAACTGCACCAAAGCATTATGAGAGTTAGACATTAATTTATGTTTATATATTTCATAATAAAATAATTTTAATGCTTAAAATTTTAAAAGCATACTTATATAAAATAAATACTTAAAAGTAAATAACACAGGCTTTATTTTTCAATTTTACTAAAGATTAATATAAAATATAATTGATATATTATAATAATCAATTGAGATATTTCAACAGAACATCAGAAGTAAAAAATCTGCTTTGAAATACATGTATATATATATATATATATATATATATGTGTGTGTGTGTGTGTGTGTGTGTATATATACTATATTTATGATAAATTTGATTGGACATACATTGTCAGTGCACACTGGTGTACATTAAAGCAGTCATGAAGAAATTGATGTAAAAATGTATAATATATTTAATATAAATATAGAAATTGATGAAGTCGTAAAATACTTGACACTTCAGTGTACTATTCAATGAAATATGTATTTCACAATTCAAAATGTTTATATTTCACTTTTATATTTAAATTAGATCATTATAAAACAGTTTTGATATGCATCAATGTCTAATAGTTATGCAATTATAATATATTTGCTAATATTAAATATAAAATATCTATATAACAAACATAACTTATAAAATATTCTAAAATTATTTAATCTCAATACATAATTATTATATAATTTAGCAATCAATCTTAATCACTAATGTCCATTTCTATTAATATAGATTAACTTTATAATATCAGTTTAATTTACTTTTTATCCCCTTTTCGAATTCTTAGAGAAATAAAAAGTAAGTTTACCAAAATTAAAATTAATCTATCTACAATGATATAGAAGTAGATATAAGATAATTAACAACAGTGAGCTATATTCTTTCTTACTTATATACATATATATATATATATGTGTATAATTTTAAAATTATTAATGTTAAACTGAAAGACAATCTCAGACAGCAACACTTATGTAACCTTAATCTCGAAAAGTTATGCAATATACAAAAGGAAAAAAAAGAAACACTCACCAAACTGACAGGAGTTTGAATTTGATTCTGCTGCAAGTACTGACTGTGATTGATAACAGCACTGCTTAGTGGCTGCAGATAGGTCTTGGTACTAGAAATCAGCTGTACCATAATGGAAAAAAGTGAGAAAAGATGTTCAAGGACAGTGAAGATTATTACATAATATACGCAGAAACTCATCATGAAATTGTAGCTGAATCTTTTCCCTCATTTTCTTTTTACTTACAGTGGATTTAGCGACAGGCGCGATGAATCGACTGCAGGCGTACATGATGACGTTTTATCTGGTGTGGTTCTCGCGAAACACAATATAAGATACCTGGAAATCGAAAATACCACGATTACGAGATCAGCAGTACTCTATGGTGTGCAAAATTGGCCGCAGACGAAACAACCGCACGCGTCGTACAATTGTGAGCTTGTCCGCTGTCGAGCGCTGAATATTACGTAACCCACAATTCGTTGTACTTTGTGCGGTTATGGCGAACAAATTTTTCACGAACAAGTTTTCAAAATCGGAACTCGCCCTGGACAAACTTGAGGCCAATTTCGAACACATGAATGCCGTACGTTATTAATTTTGACGACAAATACCTGACGCAGCGGTACTTACACTTTATGGTAGAAAATGGCCGCGTGCACACACTCACTCGCTCACTCACACACACACACACACACACAACTCTCTCTCTCCACACAATTGATCGAACAAAATATGAAAAATTAAAACTTAAATTAACTAGCATTCTAGATAAAATGTATATGTGTGTATATATATATATGAGGTAAGATTTTTACATATGTTAAATGTACCACAGTCATACGACTTTTACCAGTTTTACTCACCTGCAGCAGGCGACCACACTTACCGAGGAACAAGTGTCGTGTCGAAGAGATGTAGCAGATTCGAACCTTGGAATGTTAAATCGAGTGTGAGTGGAAACGAGCGTATATGAAATGCCTAAAGGAGGGGTAAAGTTATCTCAATCGCCGCTACCGACGAGACAAACCGACTTCCGTGCCACGACCTATTCTCACAATTTGCTATGCCCTGACCACATTTATCGACCAACGAGCAATGACCAACCAACGAGTTTAAAGCTGGCTTTTCATGCTGACGCTCGACAGATCACGTGATAAAAATTGACGAATACCAAGTAGTGAATTAAGGAGTAGGCATAGATATCGACCAATGCGTGGTCTATAATGGGCAGGAGTAGTAGTGGATTAAGGAATAGGCGTAGAAATCGACCAATGATAGTTAATTGTCCTTCGACTTGTTGATTTCTACGCCTACTTCTTAATCCACTACTGCTACTGCCCATTGTAGATCACGCAATCAACAATGCGCTAACATGCTACAGTTTACGTCACGTATACTATAGAATTTCAGAGATAAAAGTGCATTCTGAATACGGGCCTATGTTTCCACCGAGGATTAGGGTTGGGTTAAATCATCGACATATAGTATGGACTACGCACAGGCTGAAATAATATGACCGACCCGAAAGAAAGAGATAGCGACCGTTGTGGGTCAAGCTCTGTCTCTTTCTATCGTCTAGCGATACATTACGACATCCACTGGGCGATAATAAAAGCAGCCAATAGGAGTATTAGAAAGAGCGAGCGATTGACTCACACCGCGTTTCCTCTTTGTCTAATTCGCCGGACACTTTTTATGTATGGATTGCGCAGTCCATACTATATGTCGATGGGTTAAATGTACAAGAACTAACCAACCACAGGCGTGCATTCCTCTCTGATTTTACTGTAAGATGAGAATCGCTTGTAGTTGGTCGGTTCTTGTACATACAATAACCCAACTCTAAGGGCGGGTTCACACCTTGACGGAAAAGCGGAAAGCGGAAGAGCAGTTAACCGATCAGGGTATCGATCATGTAACTTTTTCTCTAGGGCGGAAACGTGAAAAGTGAAAACTTTTATGAATGTATGTATGAGGATATACACACATGCATGCAAAAAATTTTCACTTTTCACGTTTCCGCCCTAGAGAAAAAGTTACATGATCGATACCCAGAACTCGCCCTGGTAGTAAAAAGTACAAATCTAACAGAAAGTCGACTACTTGATTGGCTACTGCTTTTCCGCATTCTGCTTTTCCGTCAAGGTGTGAACCCGCCCTAAGGGTGCAAACCCATGCAGCGGAATAGCGTAACGCGGAACGAGAACAGAACCAATAACGAGCATTCCGTGTTTCTAGAGAATCTCGTGATTGGTTCTACTCTCGTTCCGCGTTACGCTATTCCGCTGCATGGGTTTGCACCCTAAAGCCCAAGACGCAATGCGAGAGAATAGTGATAGCGATAAGTTTCAACTTATCAGAAATCGAATACACCGGAATACACATTTTTGATAGGTTGAACCTTATCGCTATCGATATTCCCTTGCATTGTGTTTCCAGCTTATGTGTCAAGCAGCGGAAGCAATAACCAATCAGCGTGGCAATATGATCAGTTTGCGGGATTCTTTAGACGTTTTATCGATGATTGTCGCTATCGTTAACTAGCGACAGTCAATGGCAGGACAATCCTAAAAGAAAGCGCGGCTCTCATTGGCTGTCGCTAGTTAACGATAACAACAATTATCGAAAAAACGTTTAGAGAATCCCGCAACAGGGAAGAAGAAAATATTTTTTACTCCACTGCTCATATTGGCTGCGTTCAACAGAGAAAGCAACTTTGAAACTGTTGTAAAATTCTTGAATATGATTGACTTATACATTTAGATCTAATGAGGAAGTAAGATCAAGACCAATCATATTGAAGAGTTTTGCAACAGTTGCAAAGCTGCTTTCTCTGCTGAGTATCGATCATGAAACTTTTTCTCCTAGGATAAAAAGTGAAAATTTTTACCATTGAAGTTAATGGAGAAATTTTTCACTTTTCAGTTTTCATTCTAGGGGATAAAGTTTCATGATCGATACCCTGAACGCAGCCATTGGTCGCGTTCAGCAGACTCAACTGTTGCGAAGCGCACACTCTGTGAGCGCTCGCTGCTATTGGATGAACTAAAAGAATATACCAATAGCAGCGAGCACTCACGGATCCGCTCCGCATCAGTTGAGTCTGAACATGACCATTGGGCACGACTCAACAGTTGAGTGAGCGCTCGCTATTATTGGTGTATTCTTTTAGATCAGAATTTTAGATCTGGAAGAATACACCAATTTGCTGAGACAGGACTATTCCTTTAGATCTAAAAGTATAACCCAATCAGCGAGACGAATCATAAAACGGTTGCAAAACTAAAGGTGCAATTTCATGCTGACGCTTGACGCTTATTTTTAGCGTCAATATAGATCATGTGATACAAATTGACGAATATTAAGCATCAATTTTGATCACGTGATCTGTTTTGACGCTAAAAATAAGCGTCAACATGAAATTGTACCTTAATTGAAGTCTGCTGAACAGCAGCCTGTGTTTCCAGCTTTACATGTGAATGCACCTAAACTAGTGTAATGCGGGCATAGGATCTATTTCGAAAAGGCCATTTTGTTTGAGTATGTTCAACGTGGCGGTTGTATCGGTTCGACGATTAATTAACAGCTTATAATTCATTATGATTCTCTGTAAGTATTTTGCGAGAATATTTTTTGCGACTTATTTTGATAAGTGTTGTTCGTTCTTTATCTGTTAACTACGATTGTAATTATGTTGTACAGAAAAAAGGTATGAATATTTGTGTTTTGGCACAATACGGTTGATTTTTCAAGTTACGTGATCGCGTGTAGGTGTGTATGTACGGATCGTTTTTACATTTTAACGATTTATTATTTACGAATTTTTGTTTTAACGAGATATGTTACAGTAAATTATATGCTCCTTTGAGTCGTCCAGAATATTTCCGTTAATGATTATCTTTGCCCGATGTCATGTTTAATCGCTATTCTGACAAATATAAATAGAACTATTTCGAGTTTTTATCGAAAGTATATTTTACAATATGATGTATAATGTATATTGGCCGCATATGCATGTATAGATTTATATGAGTACTATTGAAGAAACATGTTTTCTGATATAATTTGATGTAGGCAGATCAAAAATGAACAGTATTAAAATAGCTATCCATGTATTACTCTGGTTTTATAAGTCTGCAGTCTTAAGAAGCTGGCTGTTAACTCTATGGATTCACAATTCTAATTTAAAGCAATTATGTGTACATAGATCACATTTTATTTGTTTAAATTATACTTTTCTTTACTGATTCAAATTGTGTTTTATAAGTAATATCTAGGCTCCTAAATTGAAAACATTATAAAGTTCTTCACGTATCTAAAATTTATATTTCACTTTTAATTCATACTTATTATTTTTATACTTAAAAGAGTAGAATTTATAATATAATCGTATCTTTTATTTGAAATAAAATTTGAGACACATAAAGTGGGATGAAGAATTAAAATTTAGGGCTCTCCTAACTAGAGACGGTTGGTCACTAAGATGTACAGTAAAAATTATCCATTGAGTAAACATATTTTGCGTGATGCCTGTTAAATTAGCTTTTCCATTATTGCTAAATAAATTCTAACATATTCCAAAATTAGGTGCTAATTAGGTGCTGATTAGATATCAAAGTGCAAAATTAAGTACTTGAACTATTTGGCAGAAAAATTAATATATTGGAGGGAGGAAGGTATATATAAAAATATATACACTTTTCTCTTAAGCTGACTACATGATTGACGTTTGAGCTCAAATTTCTGCCAAACGGAACGAGCATCTAATTTCACGATTTGATGTCTTTAAATAATATTAAAAAAATATATAATATATTAAAAATATAAAAATATATAATATATATTTTTGCAATATTTTTATCAAGTCTTAAAGCATCTAATTAGCTCTTAATTCCGCTATATATATATATTTTTTTTTACAAAAATATATTTTTTTGATGGAGGGGGGTGCTAACTTAATGTTATGCTAGCATTTTTTCCAATATATTTTTTTTCCCCCGCCAAACAGTTTGAACATCTAATTTCATACTTTGGCATCTAATTAGCATCTAATTTTGGAATGTGTTAGAATTCTGCGCTGGTGAGAGAACTAACTTACATTTATCTTTGCGTGCCTTTTACAATCATTTTATCAAAAAGGATCTTCGGCTATATCCCTATTTTTACAAATATTTTAATATCAAAAATAGAGACTTTATGATAAAATCAATCAATCCAATTTAGCTTTTATGCTCCTGATACAGTGGATCAAATATAATATTTTAAAGCGATCTCATTAATTTATTTTACCTAAATTCTCTTTATTTATAAATGGCATGCAAGAAACTTCAACATATCATTTCTTACTTATGACATTATTATTCCAATGTGGCCGTGGTAACTACTCAGTAGAATTTCTAGAGACTCTATTGACGACTAGACAGTAGAGTCTCTACTACTCGGGAGGTTTAAGATATTTGAGTTGGATGAAAATTTTATAAAATATATATAAAATCAAGTTTTATGTATAATAACATAATGAATGATTTATATAAATATTTTGTAATTATTTTATAACCATTTATGATTATGTGATAATTTTAGAAAACATTGTGCTGTCTTCAAAATGTCTGTATATTTTTAAACGTCTATAAATGTTGTTTCTAAAAACAGTATCAATTTTTTTAGTTGCTGTGCTACCCTTGATGTTGGTAGTATTATGTACAAATTGTGCATTCTCAGAAGTCACACAATCAACAAATTCTTATTTGTCTATGGCTGATAGAGCACGTTTGAAAAATATTCTTGAAACGGGATTTCAATTAGACGATGTACCTTCGGTATATTACACTGTCAGTGGATACAAATTACTTGGACAAACTATACCGAAAGCTGATGTAAGTTTCTTCTTTTCGTCTTATGTATATATATATATATATATATATATATATATATTTTATGTTGTGCAAAATAAATTTTAATAGCTGTAATACCAACATTTTACCATTGGAGATAAATATTTTATTTGCTCTTGTACATCATTTCTTATGCTCTTTCCTGTTGTAGTCAATAATTCAGTTTTTATGGTAAAACGTTAGATACAGCTTTTAAAATTCAACCTATATGTATATTATACAAGATAGTTAAATACTTTAAAAGATTTTAAGATATAATTTCTCACACTAAATCAAGAAAACTTTATACACATAACTAGATGCCCGAAACGGTTTATTTTTAAAAATAAATGGTCACACAAAAAGTTGAAGAAAAATTTTTGTTTTTTCTAAGAATGTTGAAAATTATTCGGGTTATTTTGATAAAATTTCATATACATTTAATGTCAAAATGATTTTTGGTATAGCGTTTCTAATGCATAAGCCTTGGTTGGGCACAGAAAGTTGCCTTTGGCACAGTTTTTTTAATGACGAATCATCTATATATGCAATTGTGCCGTTGCACAGAAATGTTGCATCTACTGTATGTGTATAGAAGCACCTCATTCAATTCAAAGTAAAATCACAAAAAACACTTGAATTATAAAAAGTAGACAAGGTCATTAAAGTTTGAAGATCACATGATTTGATTGTTCGTATATGTAGACAGTTGTATTTTACCTATGTTTTTTTATATTTGGTGTAAAAAGGTTTTATGTTTTGATCATTATTTTAATGCCAATACTTTTTATTTCGCAACTTGTAAGAATTTTGTAGAATAAATAATTTTTTCGTGATTACCTTTTTAATTTAATTGCGTTTTTTTTAATGATTTTACTTTGAATTGAATGATTGTGGTTCTGTACACAGTATATGCAACTCTTCTGTACGACGGAGACGTACAAGAACGCACAGTTACATATATCCGTCACTGAAAAAGCTGTACTAAAGGCGTAATTTTGAAATCCTCTATACGACCAACAACCAGGGCACATGCATTAAAACCGCTTTACCAGAAATCATATTTAGAGATAATAATCTAGCTATATTCCAAAATTCATCATAATCCGAGGACCCGCACAGCGTGTGTAGTCTGGTTGTAACTCAATTTGAACATTTAATCATATAAAGTTTTTGTCTTGAATTAATGTAAGGAATCATTCCTCAAAATCTTTTAGAATATGTAACTAGTATTATGTAAACTAGGTCTTCAAAAAGTCTGTAAACATTAAAATATCTCGAAAACGATCAACTCTAGCTAAAAATATATAAGAGCAAAGTTGTAGGACTTAAAAAAATCTAACTGATGATAAGAGGTTGACCTGGATGGAGTTTGCAAGACCATATGAAGGTCAAGTTGAATTTTTTAACACATTGAGCGCTGACTTATTTTTATAGGTGTATAAAGCCGAAGCTTGAAACTATTCAATGTTTGGAAATTATTTTTTATGTAATTTGAGAGCTTTGATTAGTTATCAGGAGACGCGATAGTGTTCAAAAACTGAATTTTACTATATTGTTGGAAATCACGGAAATCTGTGGCACATAGTCATTGAAGCGAATAGTCAATGTTATATGGTGTGTGTCGCCGACGCTCAACGTGTTAAATAACAATCCTCCTTTTTTTATTACATATTTCTGTAACTTAATAACAAGAGATTTTCAAAACACTTAATAAAATTTTTTTTATTTAGTACTTTTCGAGTTATAAGGCTTGAAAGTAATGCTGAATTCACACTGGACGTAGCAAGCGTCAAGCATCGGAGCAGCAACCAACCAGCATGGCGATATTTACAGTAGCGTAAAAAATATTGCCACGCTTGGTTGCTGTTTCGCTGCTTGACGCTTGCTGCGTCTAGTGTGAATCCAGCATTACAATACTGCTGGCACCAGCATTACCCAAGATGCATCGCGTGGAAGTTACACAGTCATATCATTTTCGAAATATTTTAGCATTTTCAGACTTTTTGAAGACAAAGGTATATGTACAGTATATACAGACTGAGACATTTAAAATGCTTAACAAACTGTGTAACTATCATTTTTTAAAAGTAACTATATGTATTTTTGTTATCAATTAATTTAACTCGTTATTTTGCACATTAAGATATAAAGTATATTCATAAAAAATGAATAATTTTTACCTGCGAAATATTTTATATTTTATGTTAAAATGTGCCAAAATAAAGACTAATACATCTCGTAAACTAATAATATTTTTTTCGATATTTCTTAATACTTTTATACATACAGTAGTTACAAAAATCATATTGTATAAAAAAAGAAACAATATTCTATTTTAAAAAGTGTAGGCGACCTACATGTAACTCTGAAAAATTGATTGCTAAAAAATTAATTTTATTTATTTATTTCCCTTGAAATCATATATTTGCTAAACATATTTTGATTCGACACATACTTTTAGGGATAATAGTTTGTAACACTTTAAATATCTCATTTTGTTTATACACATATTTACATGTGCGTGCGCGCGCGCGCGCGTGCAAGGTGATCCATTTTATACATGTGCGTGCAGTTATAGACGTGCACATTTTTTTTTCAATTTTAGTATAAAATCCAGTTCGGCACTATCCAATTTTACGTCTATTTTAATCATGTAAGAGAATTTTTGATTCTGTTCAGTAAATTCGGTGATTTTTATTAAACTGCAATGTTCCCATAATTTGATCGCTCCAGCATCTCATCAGGTCTGTCCCATCTGTTAAAAACACAGTTCATGAGCTGAAACGCTTTCATCTCTCTGCCGTCTCAATAGAACAAGATCAAGAATAAATAACAAACGATAGACGCTAGTATTCCGCTCGAATTCAAGTCTGTCCAAGCGTTGTTGCAATATGCAACGTTGCAGCATGTTGCAATAATATTGCTGCAAACTTTTATGCTATATGACAAAGTATTCAGTGAATATCTTTGAATCTTAAAATTATTCGAGAATTTAATGTATCTTTTAAACTGAAAAATGTTGAATTAATTCAGGACTGACCTGATATTTTTGTGTCATTTTTTCTAAAAAAATCGAATCATGATAAAAGAAAGAAATAATAAATATTTCCTGCTCGTGCGCAAGAATTATGTCGATAATGATGAATGTTATAGTTTTAAATGAAGCGTTAATAAATTAATAATTTTATAAGGTGAGATGTTATGGTACATGAATGAAAGGAAAAGTTTTGTTTGAGTATAACCTTCTCTTGAAAATGCAATAAGGAAAGTTACTAATGGAAAATTTGGATTTAATGTTTACAATTATAATATAGTAGACAAATTATTATTTGTATTGAATGTTTGATATTATTTTAATTATTTTATAAATCATCTTGCCCAGCAATTTCATAATAATTTGATGTTCATAGACATCTTGGAAAGATCTTAATAATGCTGATAAATATATTAAAATTTGTAAATAATTAATTGCGAAAAATATTACTTCAGCGGAGGATTAAGCCCTGATTTTTTTACGAGTGTCCTAAGCCTTTATGCGTGGTCTACAATGGGCAGTAGTAGTAGCGGATGAAGCAGTAAGACGTCGCAGTAAGCTGGTTTTTCGGTATTATAAGGCGTAGAGTAAGTTCGTAAGCGAAATGGTTGAAATCCATTTCTTACGTCTACTCTCTTACTCTCAACCAATGAGAACTCACAATCAGTAGCATTCAGTAGTAAAGAAAACGCGCGCAAGAAGCTAGTGCTGTTTTTGCATGCTATAACCTAAATTAAAGCATAGATGCAACACATTGAGCAAAAATTCAAATTGCTCTGGCCACATCCGAGTATACCGGAAAAATTCTTCGTCATCAGTTATCATCAATTCGCGAAATAGGTTATGGTTAAAACTTATATGTTTGCGCCTGTTCACAGATCGTATCCACCATCTCCGACTAATAATAGACCTCTTCGTCTGAATAATGCTCGATTGCAATATTAGGAGCTGATTCCATAACATCATAAATAATGTAATAAATCCAATTTTTTGTCAATCCATAATTATGGATATAAAGGATAATGCTCTTTCGTTACTGTATGGCTGTAAGTCATTGTAGACACTCAGGCGTAAAGAGACTCAAATCCTACAGCCTACTTCTAATGTCTACTCCATAATCCACTACTGCTACTGCCCATTGTAGACCACGCATTACACTATCAAGATCTTAGTAATATTTTTGCAATAATCGATATATACCTATATATATATATATGGAAACAAAGGTCTTTATTTCAGACGACGTAATTTAAACAATTATAGGCTCTATTTCTTTTGATTGTGTATTCACATGAACGGTCCGATAAAATTCTTATTGATTAAATATATTGTTCTTAATTTGTTTGCGTTTTAGTTATTAGGTGGTTGCATTAAAAGTCGCTGTTTTTTTTTTGTATTTGAGCATTAATTTCAATAACAAAATATATGAATACCTCAATCAAAATATTTTCCCTCGGAAGCTATGACTTTTTACCACTTTTCTGGCAGAAGTTGAATTCCGCGATAAAAGAATGATCTGTCTTTTGAGTAAATCCATTCAGCAACGCAATTTTCGACTTCGGAATAATTATTACGGAAGTGTGTATCTTCCAGAGTGTATTGCATTAATCGGAACAGATGATAATCGCTTGGTGCCAAGTCCAGAGAATACGCTGGGTGCGGAAGAAGCGTTTCGAGATCCATCAGTGTTTATTTCACGGCTATAGCAACATGGGGCCGAGCGTTATCATGAATATGATCAGGAGAAGAATCATCTTTCGACGATTTGATGCGATTGATGATCGTTTTTGTATCAAATTATCGTTTAAACGCTCCAATTGTTGTCGATAACGCTCGGTGATTGTTTCGTTCGGTTTAAACAGTTCATAATACACGACACCCTCCATATCTCATCAAATACAGAGCATTGCTTTGTGACCGTGGGATTACCACTTTTGAATCGTCGAAACCAGTCTCTACATACTGTTTCCGATAGAACAAATTCATCATAAGTTGTTGTCGATAACGCTCGGTGATTGTTTCGTTCGGTTTAAACAGTTCATAATACACGACACCCTCCATATCTCATCAAATACAGAGCATTGCTTTGTGACCGTGGGATTACCACTTTTGAATCGTCGAAACCAGTCTCTACATACTGTTTCCGATAGAACAAATTCATCATAAGTTGTTGTCGATAACGCTCGGTGATTGTTTCGTTCGGTTTAAACAGTTCATAATACACGACACCCTCCATATCTCATCAAATACAGAGCATTGCTTTGTGACCGTGGGATTACCACTTTTGAATCGTCGAAACCAGTCTCTACATACTGTTTCCGATAGAACAAATTCATCATAAGTTTCCGCAAATAATCGATGAGTTTTAGCTGCACTTTTTAAATCAAAATAGTGTAGAAGTACACATTGGAAAAACAACTTATCGCATTCCATTTTAATTCAGTTATAGAAAAGCACATGTGTTAAATAAGGATGGCGTCTGTTGACTGAATTTTAATGGAAAATGTTCATACTTCAGAATGACATAAGTAACAGATATCTCTGACCACAGCATATACTAGAGTCATCTAAATGTAAACAGAAGCTTTTAATGCAATCCCCTAATATATTCATTATATTAAATCCTAACTTGAATACAAAATATACATATAATATTACGCGAATCAACAAAAATTAACTTGAATTAACTAGTTGGACACCCTGTATCATACATTCATATTTTCTATAATAAGAAATAAGAATAAGAAGATCAATATAGCATCATTTTGGATGTTACAGGTAGAAGATAATAGGTAAAATAAAAAACGGCTATTATGATTGCAGATTGAAAAACGGACTCCCTCGGCTCCTTCACTCTACGATGCTTACTTAGACAGGTCTGAATTTAGGCAGAGCGCTGGCGTTTACATTTTGTTATTTACGCTTTGTCTCGTTCTATCGAGATGGCAGAGAAATGGTTCATGAGCAAAGTTTTGAATAGGCTTGTATTAAATCTTTGCCGTACTAAATAAATTGGCCTATGATATTCTAAAAATAATGAAAACTGAAAGGATTAGACATACCTCTACGCAAGGTAGGATGTATATGACGTAAAACTATGTTATATATTGCTTCCGGTGATAAATATTTATATTCTTTTTTTGCATAGTGCATTTTAACATCTAATTCCTCAATATTTTTTCTCAATTAGAAATTATTATGTAGGTCGGCTGAAAAGTAGTGCACAGTCGTACGTAATTCACAAACGAAAAAAAAAAAAAAATTCAAATAAAACAAAAAAGGCATGAAATTGTGAAATTGCATTTTATTGGTATAAGAACGTACCCATTACTGACTGATATCTATTTGTATTCGCATAACTCCGTACAAAATTAGATTAAAATATCAATTACCAATTTCGAAAGTAGAGATTTCAACCTTTAAAATACTTTTTTTTAATTTTTTATATACAATGATTTTTTTTTTATCGAGTTACAGTATTCTGAATATTGCACAATTTTGAGCGTGTTCGAAAGTGTTCTCTATTTTTTGTCGAGTAGTATATTTAAAAAAATGTTTACAATTATTTATTTTATGAAATGCTATTGTTTTACATTTAAAAAAAATATTTTATTATTTATTTTAGGAAGTATAAAATAATTAAACGAATACTCTATTTCTTAACTTTTGTCAGCAAGTGCGTATGCACGCATATAACATAAATACAAAATGAGTCATTTTAAGTGAAAATTTTTTCTGGGCAGAGAGAGATACAGAGAGTTATCGAAACATTTTTTGATAGTCTTGGTTTTTGAGAAAAATCATTTCGTTACTTAAAATGATTCATTCTGTATATATAAACTAGTATTTTTAGAGATCCGACATGTACAAATTATCTTATGATGAAAAAGCTATGCTGAAATTCCATGATTATTTGATTAGTCTTTCTGACTGAGACATTTTTTTCGTTATAACATAATATTTTGATTTCTTATATTAATAGCGATTGTGCTTGTTTAGATCATTTGCAAGTACTTAATAAAGTTCAATGGAGAAAACATCACACCTGAAACGGCATTTTATCTTATCTCCACATGGAAAACTATTGGGGAAAACTATTGCCAAGAGTTTTCTATAAGTACTGTGACAAAGGTGATATATGCTAGTATTAATGATCCAAGTTGCATTGATACTTATAACACTTATTATATATAGCATAATGAGATGTCTGCAATAATAATACTACTGTATGAAAAATAGAGATAATAATTACTTCGCGAAACAAAATATAACTATTTGTTCTTAACACACTATGTATAACAATATTTTATTTATACAGATATTGACTAATATTATACAGAAGGACACTTCTACACTGTCTGATTTGTATTATGCAGTGAGTGGGTTAACAGCTTTATCACAAAAGATACCATCTGCCAGGATTGACAAATTAGTGAAATTAATTCAAGTAACTTTGAGGAAAGATGATAGTCTATGGAAGTAAGTTAGCGAATGTTACATACAGGATGTTTCATTTTAATTGCAATAAATCAGTCAATTTTTGAAAATCATGAGATTTTAGAGAAAAATATTTCAGACAAAAGTTATAAAGTCTGAAGAGGGATACCGTCGATTTAACCTTGAGTAACGCCGCCAAGGTTAGGTCAAGGTCACTTTAAATTTTTTTAATGGAACTCCCTATTTTTCATTGCATATTGTTGTAGTTTATTTCGAGAGCTCTTCAAAATACTATAATAAAATATTTTTCCATTAAGTACTTTTCCAGTTATACTTTTCCAGTTATAATACTTGAAAGTTACAGTACAGCCGATATTAGCATTATTTGAGGTGTCCGACTGAAACTTTGGTAAAACTTGAATATTGTTCAAGATCATGACCTGAATAACATTTGTATAGGATTAAGGCTTAGAGGTTCTATCTCTTTTATTTTTACGTAAAAATAAAATTTTAGTACAAATTCTATTCTACTTTTAAAAAATTTAAAGTAACCTTGACTTGACCTTGGTAGCGCCACCCAAGGCCAAATCAATGATAACCTTTTATGTCTCCCTTCGAACCTTGTAACTTTATCTAAAATATTTTGTTCTAAAATTTCGTAATTTCCAGAAATTGTTTTAATTAAAATGAGACATCCTACGTAAAATAATATATTAGCATTTATGATAAAAATTAATGACAATTGTAATGATGTTTATGAAACTTTCGTTCTTCTGAATATAAAACATGAAGACAATAATTACTATACTGAATGGAACATCTTAAAAAAAATACATTGGTACATATTTTTAACATGGACAATATAATTTATTTTTATGTTATTAGCTTGGGATACGTGTTCCACATTGCTGCAGACATAGGTACCCCAGCAGCATTTGCTTTTGATCGTATTGAAGATGCTATAGTACAAGCAGACGAAGTCGATGGTCAATACCTGCAATTTGAAGGCGGTCTTTCTATAACAAGTATATATTTAGTTTCTATTATTCGTATAATTCCAAATTGATTTTTTTATAATTTAAATTTATTTTAACAAATTAATTTTAAAATAAATTTTTATAGGCTTCCTTATTAATGGAATTCTTAAATTATCAACTTCATTGAACAAAAAACCGCCATTAAACTTCCAACAGACTGTCAAACTGGGCAATTATCTTCTCTCGCGGCGTTCCGTGCAAACGATAAAAGGTGTTACAAATTTGCTGTCTGCTTTAACTACTTTGGCAGTTGATAGTTCTGAAAAACCAATTTGCATAACCCTAGCCGATGGAGGAATCATTATATATAATAAACAACCATTAGTTACGGTTAAAGTTTGTGATATTCTTGGTCAAGCATTGCCAACTGTGCCCAAAGTCGTTGCAAATTCTGCAACACGAGTAGGAGACGATGTTGTTATTCTCAGCAACGAGAATTTGCCATCTACAATGGATAAGTGAGTGTTATTTAAATATGATGTTTTTCCCCAATACTTTACTGAATCAGTTTTGCCATGCTGATATCAGCTATACCTTGGGGCACAGCAATAATTGTTGAATAATCCCTTTAACTTTTTTTAAAAATATAATTAAGATTAAGAAATTCAACATACATTTTTGCTAATTTTTGTTAGACTGAATGTTTCATTGTCAGGTTTTTCCATACAGATTTAGTATGTTTTATGAATAAAAAGAAATAAGAAAAAATTATATAAACATAAGTTCTAAAATGTTTTATTAAAAAGTTATAATAGAAGTATCAAAATGTATAAGAAACAGTTTTATCCTTAAGTTTTACCTAAATTTGCATTTCAAAATTTTGCCCATCTTGACATCGAAGTAATTTTGAATTTATAATTTTTTTGTGAGGAGTTGTCTTTGTGTGAGGGTTTCATCAGAAGAGTTGTAATCAGGGATTTTTTAATCAGGAAAAATAATTTCACTAGCAATTATATATTAGTATCAAAACTTTATTTAATATAATAGCGGTATACGAAAAACCAAGATCGAATACGAGGTAATATTTTGTTGGAATAAATTATTTTTAAATTGATGCTTATTAGAGCATAATAATATCAAATTGCTTATCAATTTAATTTGTGATATTACACACGTCGGATTCAGTTTAGAACTGTGTTTCAAGACCGCCAAGTACTCGGCATGTAGTTTGTTTAAACTGGAAATTGTAAGATTTACGCAAAAATATTAAGCATCGAGATTCGCTTTCTCTGTATGTGTAATGTTTTTTTATTTTAAACAAATGAAACGCAAGCAATTGGGAATTAGGCTTTCGACAGTGCGCAGTTTGCTTTTATAAAAAAGTTTTATATTAAAAAAGCTTTTCTGAAGAAGGCTCTTATTCTACAATCTGCTTTTTGTTTTCTGTTTCTTGTTTTTTGCTATTTTTCACATCTTGTCTTTTTGCTTCTTATCCCGTTTTTCGTTTTTTGTTGCTCGAGATAAAAGTTAACGAACTTCAAAAGAAACAAGAAATTGGGTAGCAAAAAATTGTAGTATACAATTATCGATAAAACGCAAAGGGGGAAAAGCAAGAAATAGGAAACAAAGAATATTGTAGAATGCCCTTAAAAGATTAGCATTAGATTAAAAGATTTAGGTTAGAGTTCGTCGTAATCCGTTCTTATTTTTACACTGTTTTAATTAGTGTCTTAAGATACTAATACGGCTCTCTGATACATGACATTTTAAGAGTATATCTAAGACAATCTTAAATGTAAGAGAAATTGGACTATGAATACCGACCTTTAAATCTACAATCAATTATTACTTAGAATATGTATAATAAATGGAATTTTCATTTTGGTCAAAAACGGCCTTAACATAATATCTAATTAATTTTACATATAGGACTCTGTTTACAATGAACCTGATGAATGTAAAACCTGATCGCGGTTTTTACAAGATATTAGTAACCGCGGCTTCGGTCAAGAATACAATTACAGTGAAAGTCTTATCTGAAGCAATATTGGACTACTTAGAGATTGGTACTGGTGATGCCGATCAGACAACTCAACCAAAACTTACGAGGTGTTTACATGATTCGTGATATTTTACACTATATACTAAATCATATATTTTTTAACAAGATATTCTATGTTTATTCATTTACATCTCTTTAATTTTCAGGATAAACACAGAATCTTCCTCAGGCAAGCTTGAACATAAAATAGAAGCTGATTCTCAGCAAAAACTAGTTATGCGATTTTTGTTACGTGATTCCGCCAATAAAAAACCAATGCGTGTGCATCAAGCCTTCGTGCGCCTTACATCTATTTCCACGTCTATTAATAATAAACGAGGCCATGAAATCTTTTTCGTTGCTGAACCTGATGCTACTCACATTTATAAATTTGACATGGTAATTTTTTATGCTGTACATTACTTCGTAAATTGAATACATATTAGAGACTTAACTGACTTAAGTATAGGGCCGTCTACAATAGGAGTAAAGCTTATAATTCACTTGATGCTATAGTACTAAGAAGTGTTTTTTGTGTATGGTAAAATTCTTTCTAATAGCAAAATTCATATGTTGGAATCGTGACGTCAGAAACGAGAAATGACACGTTAATTTATGTTATATGCCATTTATAAAGACAAATTGGATAAATTTAAATAATAAAATTATTTTAAAACTACTGTAAAAATGGACAAAAACTGTCCTCTCCTCCCTTGACAATCAGTAAATGGTCGTAAAAGGTATGTAAAGTGAGTCTCTGTACGGGCAAAAAGTACATGGTTTGGCAGCTGATGAAACGAGTAAAAAATAAGCTTTTATTGAATTTTTTGAAAAAATGGTATACGAATTAGAAGTAAATGTTAAATTTAAAGAGTAAAAAATAGGTGAAAAATTGTTTATATAAAAAAAGTATGCAACATAAACAAAAAAAAAATTGATTAGAAAATATTTTTATTATTTAAAATACTCATTCGGATAGATGAAATTTCAGTTCATTTTAATATTTCGTTTACTGAGTTAGTATACGTATCTCTAGTATATAATATATAATATTTTTTCCCCATGTAAATAGATTTTTTCATAATAGAAAGCATTCTTCTGGCATGTTATAATTTTACAAATATTTCAGCCGGTCGGAACAGCAGCTGTAAATTTCGATCACCAAAGTGGAGAATATAACATGGAATTAATTATTGGTGATGCTGTGATCAGCAATCCGTTCCAGTTCAATATTGGCAAAGTAACTCTGAAATTTCCCGAGCCGACTTCAATGGAAGGTGCTGATAAGAATATCTCTTATAAGCAAAAACCAAATGTGTATACAACTAAACCGGAAATAAAGGTATTTTTCTTGATTTATACGTGGGTTGTTTGTGATAAATTCGTGCAAAGTCTAAAATGTGGTACCAGTACATACCGAAGTAATTTTTAGTAATCGGCAACTTTTGGAGGATTGTACACTTTTAGTAATATAAATCTATTACTGAGTTTGCCGTTCATTTAAATTGACTAAATGTCGTGATTTGCGAAAAATGGATCAGAAAAAATTTCATGTAGTGTGACCGCATAATTGTTCGATTTACATTGCGAAGTCCAAATTTGGAAAATAGGGGGCATGTGGAAAGACTCTCTATAGCGTAAATCGAATTTTGTAGCGTAAATTAATTTTGTGATCACACTACACGAAATTCTTTCTGATTTATTTTCTGTAAATTACTACTTAATCAATTCAAATGAACACCAAACACAAAATAATAGATCTATCTCACTAAAATTTGATGTGTAATTTTCCAAGAGTTGCCGAATACTAAAAATAATTTCGATACGTATTGATGGTTCCATATTTTAGACTTTACACGAATTTATCAAACAACCCATGTACATATATGTATCTGATATATGCCAATGCTCGTTTGTGACATAAAATCGTTCATAATTTTGTCACTTCCAAAACATTGGCAAAGAATTATGTCAAAGTTATTATAACATTCGCAAAGTAGCATTTGCGTAATAGTTTTTATTTTCTTTGACAAACATCGACATTTTTTTGATAAATTAAAGCTGTTATCAAAGTGTTTTTCTGAACTCTTGTTACTTTTAAATTTCAGCATATGTTCCGCGAGCCTGAACGAAGACCTCCTGCATTTGTATCAAATTTATTCACAGGATTATGCTTGGCACCAGTTTTACTGTTGTTGATTTTATGGACTCGACTCAGTGTCAATATTTCAAACTTTCCCTTGTCTCTCAGCGCGATTACATTCCATCTTGGATTAGGAGGTAAATATCATTTTATTGATAGAGGACACTTAATATATAATTAGATTTCCATGCATATTTTTGTTAGATAAGAAAATGAGATTAAAACGATTTTGTTTGATCAAAACAGCAACTTAATACACATGCACGCATGAACGCACACGCATCCCATGTAGCACCGAAAGTTTTTAGAAATATCTTAGAATATTTCAACCCGAAAAGTGAAATATTTTATAAAAATAACAAAATATGTCCGTAACATTTCTGAGAACTTTGGAATACCAAAATGTCTGCGATTCTTGCACACGAAATTTTGTTAAAAGGTTGGTGAAGTGTCTCAGAAAAAATCTGCAAATCTTTTGAAATATTACCGAAAAGATTTTAACTATTTCTAGACTTTAAAAATGATATTTAAATATATGTTGTTTATATTATTGATACTTAATTATAATATTTAAATTTTTGTTATATTGACGTAAATTTAAATATTATTTGAGTCAATTAAATATATATTTAAATATCATTTCTAAAGTATTTTCAAAATTTATTAAGAATTTTGCAATCTGCTTACAGATTACAAAACTTATTGAAATAAATTTACAAGTATTTTTCAAAAATGATAATTGTGTTACTAACTATTTTGACTAATTAATAATTTGAATATGTTGTATATGTGTAAGCATGTATATATAATCACTATTAAAAGACTATTTACACCTGCAGTTTTAACATAATATCATTGTTTATACACGACAGTTTTTTGCAATTAAAAATTAAAACAGAACAATTTACGGTAACGTCAAAATGACGTTAAACTGAATCGTGATTGATCAAAAAATGACTTTTAGTTAACGTTTTGGAACCATTTTAACGTTATGATGATTTTTTTTTCTTTGTGAATGTTTTTCAATTTATTGTATATCATAGATTTTAGAAACATGTCTGTTGTAACATTTCATGTGACATATTGCAGAATCTTTTATATTGCAACATGTTATGTTTTGACATATTGTAGAATCATTTTAAAATTATTGCACATGAAATGTGGAAGATTGAATTTCTGAAAATTTTCCGTAACAATCGGTGCTGTATGGGTTGCGCATCCACACGCACATACACACATGTGTATGTCGTCACTGACTTCTCCAATATACTTGTCTTCCTGACACTTCACCTTTAACCAGGAGCGCCGTACGGCATTGAGTGCCGTAAAATTGTTTTTCTGAAAAATCATGTACAATGCAGGTCTTTTACTGACCTTCTGTATTTCTCATTTAACATCTCAACCATAAAATAACGCAGTTGTCGCATTTTTTCTATTAAGTTGATTAGCTTTTTATCTACTTTAAAATCAATAAAGCACGTTTTGCAGCACGGAATGACGCGCGCGCCTTAAAACGTAGAATTTTGTTTATATAAATAAATATAATAGTAATAATGCGAGATGTTAAATCGTTCTCCACATTTTATAATTTATTTTTACTTTCATTGATATTTAATATCTCTTTAAGTAGTTAGGTTAGGTTAGTTTACAAATAAGTAGCTCAAATTTCGAAATAGTTTTAGAGAATATATCCTAAATTCAAATCTTCTCCCAAATCTTTTACAGCAAGTCCCAAAAATATTCTAAATCAAGAGATATTTTGTAAATATTAGGTTGGAGGAAAAGTTTTGTGGTATTTTGTATTAGTTCAAAATTATATATTGTATATTTAAAAAATTAGCGATTATACAATTCGATAGAATAAAATTTCAGCTTTAAGAATCTGATTTTTTAATTGCGGTATGATGATTTTTAACGTAGTTATGAGCAAATAAAATTAAAATGTTCCTTTATTTAACTCGTAAGTAACTCAGGAACAAAAAATCGCAGGAATATTTTTTAGAAACAAATTTTTAAGAAAAACTTCAAGCTTTCACGTTAGACAGTTGAAAATTTTTGCAATTCGTTTTTTTACATGACATATCCATAAAGTGAGAAGAAAAATTTTAATTTTGTTTTCAGCTTGTAGTTTCCTTTTTTAGTTCATGTAAATTTAGTAAAAATTAGTTCACATGAACTAAAAGTTATAAAAAAATTATAAAAACCTTTCGAAAGTACAGATTTCAAGCTTTAAAATCTTTTTTTTTTTTTTTTAATTTTATTCATTTTTTATGAAGCCATTATATCGTATACAACAGTTTTGAGCTAACAAAAATCGCAAAACTTTTCCTCCAACTCAGTACTTGGAGAGATGCAATTATCTTACTTTTAAATTTCTGATTGTTTGTCTAATCAAACTTTTTATTTTATAAGAAAGTAAACACAAACTTTTAATATTATAGTTAGATTTTAATATTATATTCTATTATTATAAATATATTTTATTTGCTTTTATGCCTATTATTTATTTATCCAATTATTATAACTCCTGAATAATAAATTTATAATGCGTCATTCAGTATCGCGCCCACCCGTTAACGTTCGACCAGGAAATGCCGCCCGGTTAAGGGTTAAACTATAAACATTGAAAAGAACAGACAGTAGGAACAAGAAATAAAAATTTTCAACATATCAAAAACCATGTATGCTAGAATAGACGATATTTTGAAATTTTAAATTCCCTGTTTCTATTGCCTGTGCTTTTCATTTTGTTTCTGGTTTTAAGCTCTCCTCACTTACAGACCGTATCAAAAAATTTCTTATAGCTCCGAATGCTCTTGTCCTCCTTTTATTTGCTTTTATCTTCCCTGCTTCTTTCTATAATTACCCTTTTCTTTTCTTCGTTTTGGCCCTTTCTTCTAATCGTCTAAATTTTTCTATCACTTTTATCATTGTCTGTCTCTTTCTTTGATCTTTTCCACCTTTTCTTTCATTTTCCAAATCTCCTTTTCCAAGCGTTCGTACACTTCCCTTTTTATTTCTCTGCCTACCTGATCATGTATTTCTTTTTTGTTCCTTCTTTTTACATTATAATGAACCTATTGTTCTCATTGATCGCATCTAGCAGACTCAACTGTTGCGAAGCAGATTCGTGAGCATTCGCTGCTATTGATATATTCTTTTAGATCATCCAATAGCAGCAAGCGCTGACGGATCCGCACCCGCAACAGTTGAGTTTACTGAATATGAACATCCTCCCTCCTCCCCCTCCTTCACACCCTCACCCTCTTCCTCTTTCTCTTCTTCTTCATTATAGGCTTTACCTATTATTCTTCACGCATTGCGTTCAGGACTCTATTGATGACGATTTCTAATTTTCAGTTAATCTTTTCGATGATCTTTCCGGGGATCGCTTGCCTATTGTTTCTTACTATCTTAAACGTGTATTATCAGCTCTTCCGATATGGTTGTTCCATTCTTTGATGAACTTCTGGGACTCCGCATTCCTTTCTGATTTCCCCGTTTCTTACTCTGTCCTTCCTGGTCCTTCTAGTTATTATGTGTATGATACAGAGGGTCTGACATGTACAAACCTTACAAATTAGTATTATTGATAATATATTTCACTTTAATTTTATGTACAATATCTATTGCATATTGTGACATACTGTGACATAGATCTCAATAAAGCAATATTAATGCTAGAGAATCAAAATCCAGATCATCGTCAGTATTCTACGTCAATCTATCAATTTTAACGGCAGATGATTAATATTATTATCAATATTTGTTAATATATTGACATTATTATTGACCGTCTAGAGCCACCTTAAGGCCTCAGACACAGTGTGAGGGAATAGCGATAGCGATAGAATACTACGATTTTAACCCAGAAACTTCCGGTGTATCTCATTTCTGATAATTGAAATTGTATTATTTCTATTATCAATATTTCCTCGCATTGTATTTGGGACTTTATTCGCTTATCTCCTATTTTTGCCTCCAATTTCTTGTTTTTTGCCTCATTCTATTCTCACAAATTCATATCTCTGTAACTTCTCTAAATGCTGCTTTCTCTTATAATCTTTACACAAATTGTACACTCATCCACTCTTGCATCACTTACTAAGTTTATTTTACCAGCTAACAAATTCAATTAAAAAATATTTACGATATAATGAAAAATATGCCCGATATATTGCTTGGCAGATGATGTTACATAGTCTTCTGTTTTCATTGGGCGCACACAGTATGCCGTGATGTTTGTCTCGAATGTGATTATATTCTTCGTCACATTTGTAGTCAATTCACTATAGAAATTATTTATATCTACTACATTGCACCATAATGCAGTATGAATAACTATGATTATTTTATTTTTAGGCATCTTTGTGCTGTTCGGTATTTTCTGGTTGAAGCTTAATATGTTCATCACGCTGCAATATCTCCTTGGTTTTGGTATTGTTACATTCCTCGCTGGTAATAAGATGCTATCTCAGATAGCACACAGGCACAAATCAATACGTTAATTTATACTCTATAGTGTGAAAACTTTGTCGCAGTTGGCAATTTAAAGTGAATAATAAATACCAAACTACCATCGATAAGTTTAAAATGGCCAATCAACTTGTTAACATGAAAAAACATTATTTTCCACTGTTTTTTCATTTATTAAATGTGAATTATGTAACATATATATTGTTTATTTTGTTTATTATGTTTCACTTTACAATGATCTGGATTGAATAATTAGACAACATTTATATCTTATATCAGCATTAATGATTAGAAAAAAATAGTATTAATAAACTAGAATTATATAATCCCACATATCTAGGCTTGAATTACAAAATTTGATACTAGCATTAAATTATTTTTATTAGTATATAGTGTTAAGCCGCGTACAAATTTGTATAAGAATTCCATCGCAAACACCATTGCGAGCACTACTGCGACGATAATACCTTTGCTGTAATCACCGCCGCATCGCCCCGAACAACCCTTATCATGAACGTCGCCGCGTACGATTATATTATGTTTGGTGATAAATTGACTCCCCTTGCGACCTTGTCAGGACGTTCTGATGTTTCCGGTGATATGTAAGTATACGGCGATGTTCGAGGCAGTCGAAACACTGTCCATACAGGTGCCGTTTTATTTGCGATGGTGCGGTAGCGTTCGCAACAACATTCATATTGCATGCCATCTTTTTCGCGACGGTATTCTGATACAGGGTCTTTCATTAAGAGGTTTTATTTTAAATTAATGAAAAAAAAACGAATATAAGTTTTTGAAAACGTTGAGATATATTTATTCTAATTCAAAGTACACATTGTGCGATTAAACGTGGAACACAATATCAGCCACAAATCGCTTCGACTTTTCTTACAAATGGACATTCTTTTGAGTAAATTTTTCATCATATTTTTGCACAATTGCGGCTCAATTTCATTAACGGTTCGAATATTGTCTTTGAGCTCCTGAATCGTTTGCGGAGCATTTTTGTAAATCTTATCTTTCACATAATCCTAAAGGAAAAAATCCAGGGGTGTCAAATTGCACGATTTGGGCGGCCAATTGAAGTTTCCATTACGCGAAATGATACATCCAAGGAAACTTCTCCGCCAAATATTTTATCATGTATAGTGAATTTTCACTATTTTTATGCGTTGTTCAAGCAAATATCGATCTATTGTTATTAATCGCATAGTTTTTACTCGACAACTGTTAAATATGACAACTCTATTTGTAACAGGTACAAAATACCGCAAAATTTAAAATAAATTTTCTTAATAGAAAACCCTGTGCAAGTCTGTACGCGGCCTTACATTTTTTACAAACTAGTAGTGAAACTTTATCGTGTATAATACCGACAAGAGCAAGTAAACTAAAAAGATGCTAAAATTTTGCGTTTATATCTAGAATAAATACCTTTTTTTATAGTAATGTAAATTTTCAAGTATAATAAAAAGTACTTGCATGATCTTTAATTATCCAACATAACGTGAAATAAGTTATAAATCAGTGTCTATATTATAAAAATTTTGTATCATTTTGTTATATTTGATCGACAGTATCTTCAATTGATTTTTATATTTCATCTGTTCAAAAATTACTCATATTTCTGTTTATCAGTAATTATGATAATATTTATGTTAAAATAGATTATAATAATCTATAATTTATAATTTATTTGTTACGAGAAATAGTTGCAACGATAATCACAACGCCCTATAATGCATCGTTTCCGACCGGTGGACTGGCAGGATGCCATCTTCCAATGCTAGCGATGAGGGTGCGGTGCAGTATAAAAATACGCGATTGTTGATACCGACTCTCAATTCCATCCTGATTCAGATCTTCGCCGACACTGAACAAAGAGGTAGAGAGTACTCTGTCTCTGTCGAGCGTTTTCGATAGTCGATTGCCAGCGCATCTGCATTATTGTTCCCATCCGCACAAGAAAACCAGGTGATGGAGCGTTCTCCACCTTTGTCAAGCGTTCTCGACAGTCGACCATTAATGTCTCCGTACCGTTCCACCGGCAATAGCCAGGAGATAGTGTTCTCCGCCGAGCATTCTCGGCCGTCGATAGCCGCTCGCATCCTAGACATCTTATTGCATTGCGGGGAAACGAGCCTAACGACTCCGCGCTGCGACCGCTCGCGCTGGGGTATACTCTCGTACGGCATCCACTCAAATTACAGCATCGCCGCCTGTAATTTACACCGCGTAACTGCGCGTAATCCACCGCAAACGGGATTTAAAGAGTCCGATTCAACACAGTTTTTGTTCGCAACGTTCACACACACATGCGCGCGCAGATATTGTACAATAATGTTTGCTTATACACACAGACACAAATATTATACAACACGTTACCAGCTAAAATAATCTCACATTAACTATCGCCTTGAATTACTCTCGTCTCCCCGAGCGAACTTTTTTTGCGATTCGCATAATTCCGGCAAACTTATCCGTGTGAAAGTCAGAGAGTTTTTAAATTATTCTTTTTTTATTCTTTTCACTTACTCTTTCTGCATAATGTAAAAACTGATACTTTCGCGCAAATGTTTTACTTCAGCCTTCAAGTTATTCCTCTCCAATCGCAATTGTATAGTAATCATTTGCACAACACCAAATTGTCGCCAAAAATTTGTCAGATCTTGAAAATTTGTAATCTGTTATGTAAGTTTCTTATGAAAAAAAGCTTTCTTTTAAAAATTCAAGTACTATAATTATTACATGTTCGTATATACCTGACGTGGTACATTCAAGTTTGATAAGGCAACGATTTGATATGACGAGAACATCTGCGTGCTTTTCGTATGATCAACAAATGGAATTATTTTCTCGTTTTGTGTTTTATACTTACTACAAATTTGCATCAGCGTAAGCAGTTGTTTGCCTTTAATTATAAGAAATTCTAAATATTTTATCATCTTGTTATATCTGATCGACAGTATCTTCAATTGATTCTTATCTTTCATCTGTTCTAAAATTATTATTCATATCTCAATATGAAATTGTAAAAAACTGTTTATCAATAATTATGATAATATATATTTTAGATTTAATAGAACATAAAATAACATGTAATAATAATATTATTGTTGTACGACAATTTTTTCATTCAATTAAAAATTATGACAAATTGTACAAATATATATCCAACTAAAATCAAGGTTTAACAAAAAGGCAATACACGTACCTGAGAGAAGACGGAATTTCACAGTCCAGGAAGCTTTCTCGAAGAAGTCATTTTCTATCAAAATTTTCGAAATTTTCTTCTTGGCTATGAAATCATATGTTCTTATTTTACCTTGAAATTTTCGTGTATCCTCGAAAAGGCTCGTTGTACGTAATAATTGTTGTGCTATTACTTCCTGGTTTTTTTCGTCTTTATCTTTAAGTATCTCGTATGATTTTTTGTGATGCTTTATTTCTAGAATTAATCAAAAATAGGTTGAACACCAAAATCTCGTTGTGCATATTCTGAAAATACATAAATGGAGGAACAATTTTAGCTTACAATCAATTCGCTCTCCGCATTTAAACTGACACTTTACTCTTGTAACGATGTTATATATTACATGTATTGTAATTTATTGATGTATATATCTTCTAAACCATTACAGTTACAATAATTTTGATTTGTGTTATCTTGAAAGCACATAATTTTACTATACTATTTCTTTTATTTTTTGTATAATTTAATGAAGGAGATGCTAACTTAATCGCAATTAAACCAAGCACAAAAATAGCTTTAGAGCACATAATTAGCACATAAAAAGCACTTAATTCTGGCATAGATGCTGTTTTGATTTTTTGTGAGAGAGTGCTAGCTTGACACACATCAATTTTTTTGGTAACTTTATGGTTAAAAAAAAATTCCGTATTCGGCGATTTTTTCATAGATATATACTTAGTTTTCGAATTTTTAAGTTTTTTCAACCGCGTTTTGGGCGGCGTAGGTAGACTGTTTCATTAACATGCTTCATAAGCAGTATACGATTGACTCAAGTCGTTGGGTACCCACATTGGAAATCCACCTGAGCCAATCATAATGCTTACGAAGCATGTTAATAGAACGGCTCATATACACTACCCACAGCGCGGCTAATTTTCGAAACTTATAGAAGCTCAAAAACTAAGGTCTATATGGAAAAATCGCCGAATACGAATTTCTTTTTTAAGCTGTAGGATTACCAAACGAATTGGCATCTAAATTTAAAGGTATGATTTTTTTCTCCTTGTTAGATTATATAATATCTTATTAAATATTTTCATAGCATTGACTATAATAAATACGATGATATTTCATAATTTTTTATTGTAAATGTGTATAATCTGTGCAATCTAAAACCATAAAAGTATTTACAAAATATTAAAAATAAATATGTAGAATATTTATAAATATTTTGTAAATATTCTACATATTGTATGTTATTTGGGGAATTATCCCCAAATAATATTCTGTAAATAATGTGAAAGGCACGTGAAATAGTTATAATAAATATTCATAAAAGGCATGTGAAATGAAAATGTTTCCTTACTATTTTGATAATCCAATAGAATTTGTTGAAGATTTTCCCAGGATCTTTGTAACCGATTTTCAAGTTGTGTTACAGAAATTCTGCGTACATCCTTACTGTCTTCCACGAATGCATCAATCTTACCTTCCAAGATATTATTTTATCAATAAAAAATGAATTAATTATATTAAATATATACATCATTTATACATCTTATTTTGAATATTTTAAAATGTTATATATTTAGTATATATAAGCAAAAAAAAATTTTTTTTTAATCAGCCTCTCAGTTTAAAAGCTTTCATTTCATGCCAAAAAAAACACCCCTAAATTTTTATTTAAAAATATTAAGATTTTTAGAGGTCACTAGTAAGTGATTTTTAAATCAAAGTTTCGATTTTCTTTAACGCATATTTGACTTGAGCAAAAATTCATTTAGCTTAATTCAGATTTTCAATGTGGTACTGTCTTTTTGATCGCTGAATACGATGCAATAATTCATTTAGCTCTACGATATACGCCTTAAAAAATAAAGCCCGATTAATACGAAAAAATGATCAAATTTTGAGTTCAAAGTCGATTTTAGCAAGGTCCCAAGCATTCAAATGGATTGTTACTCCCCTTAAATTGTAGGTCTGTTCACCCAGAACAAGATTCAGTTGGAATTTTCCCAGAACCTTCTACAGGGCTTTTAAAGTTTCATATAACTGGATTATTAATATCTATGTTTTTAAGGATAAAAAAAAATTTTTTTACAAGTTTTTTTTCTAAAGTATATCGCTTTGTGGCTTGACATCCTCAAATGAAATGCGTCAATTTGACAACAAAAAATTATTTATTAGAAAATGAAATTAGTACATAATAACAAAAATATGATTTAATTAATTGAAATAAACTACCTATATAAAATAAGGAATAGAATCATATATAACAAAAATAGGAATGGAATTTTAATAGATAATCATAATTGATAATCCATATAATTCATAAAAAGTAAGAATTATGTGCACATAATTCTCGCTTTTTCTATAAAATATATAAAATAAATTAACGATTTTCCAAATTTTCGATAATATATTGTGAATTATATGGATTACGATTCCATAAAAATTCCATTCCTATTTTTGTTATATATGATTCTATTCGTTATTTTAAATAGGTAAGTTTTTTTATTTTATATAAGTATCTACTTTATTTCAATTAATTAAATCACATATTTTTGTTGGAAAATATAGTGTACATCTGAAAGAGGGAACCGAAGAGAACGTTCTCTATCATAACCAGTACGTTCTTTCTACGTAAGATTACTTTACTCCTCAAATTTCTAACAATGCTCAGTTTTTGGAGATACTATAGATCTGCTTTCTGTAGCTCTGAAATAGTATACACACTTTTGAAACTTAAAGTGAAACAGGTATATGTTTGATATTTGTTGAAAGCGAGAAAGAGAGTTCTAGTGCAGTCTACCCAGTGAGAAATGGCAATGGAATTAATATCGAATCGATGTCAACTCGACGTTAATTCCATTGTTATTTCTCACTGAGTAGTGTAGGAACAGAGAGAGAGAAAACAGATTTAGCTATGATTAGAACTATTTAATCATCAAATCCTCGTCAACAAACGAATATTCACAGTCAATTTGTAAAATTATGAAGTATATCTATCATTTGCCAAGGTCGTCAACTGGACAAACGTCTAGACATAAAAAATGTATGGTTTAAAAATTTTTTAAATAACAATATTGTGTGATATTAAAAGCGATAAGAGTTAAAAAATAATAAACATTCGAAAACTAAATTATAATAAACATTAATAAATACTAAATAATTTAATAAAACAGATAATATACATTATATGTTTCGGCTTTAAGTTTAAGCCTTCTTCAGATATAATACAAAAAAATGTACGCAATGAAAATACTAATAATAATTGCAAGATACAATGAGACGCAAATAATTTCATTATTATACTATTTAATGAATATTTGAAGCAAAAAAAAACGGAAAATTGCTCGCTAACTTATTAGATGACCGATTGTGAAAATAATTTTTCATCGTACTGATAAGAAAAAACCAAAATGTAAAAATATTTAAATGAATATTCGCTTGTTAATGAGGATTTGATAATGAAATGATGCTAATCAAGGGAAAAAGACAGAATTGGATGCAAAGACATTGAATGCAAGACTAAAAAATGGTCAAATTTAGTACATAAAAAAATTCTACTATTATGATACCGCAAAATTGTAACAATGGAATGACGATTACAAGAACATAAAATACTTTGTTCACCGTTCCATCATTATTTTAATAAATATTTTGTAAATATTCAAATAAATTTTATATATATTAGTGAAAGAGAATATTTTATAAATATTGTATGCTATCTGGGATACCATTCGATAGATAGTTGAGTTCTATCATATTTCCCTTTCTGGACGTTTTTGCGTTTACAACGTCATAGTCATAGCATTTCGAAAAGCTCTTGAGGTAATTTACAAAAATATGCAATAAAAAAGTTTCCATTTAAGAAATTAAAAGTAATCTTCATGTGACTTTAAAACGACCATCAAACCAATGTGGCATTGTCTTATGTCCCCCTCGAAGTTACAAAATTTTTGTGTGTCGGAAACATTTTTTTCTAAAACGCACTATTCAAAAGATATGTTAGGTCGTCATTCAAAATTGGACACCCTGTATATATAATATAGAATTGGAAGCAAGCAAAATTTTGATAAAGTTATATAAGGTTAAGAGTAATATACTTAAAGCGATGCTTTTAACATTGTCCAATAATTCTTCTAATTGTTTGTGAACATCATTAGAGATTGATTGTAACAAGACTTCGTTTTGCTGATAATAAATTTTGCCAATTCCTATGTATGTGTCTGTCTGAACAAGTATTTCGTTTAAGGTTCTTCGACAATTTCTTTCTTTGCTCTGTATTCCTTCTCTATGCAATTTCAAAAATCGATCTATAATTTCAGTATATGATTTTGTAGTCTTTTGATATTGTTCTTCGGCCTCGGCCAATTCGTCCATTAAAAAGCTTATTCTAGAAAAGATCGAATAGTTGTAAAAATATTTTTAAAAGGTATATAAATTTATCTTATGGAAAAATATCTAAATGGAAAAAGATTTTGCGCGTCAAATAACGATATTGAAATTAAAATTTATTTTTTTAGACTTTATATCATATATTAGTTAATCTTACTAGTTAATGTTACTCAACTATTTTCATGCTTCCAAATAAATTATATAAAATATAGAATCCATTTTAAAACAGAAGCAATAGACATAATAAAATAATCCATACTAAAGGAAAATCTACGAACGAAATTGTTATTTAAATCTTATTCAATGAAGAGATGAAACTCTCTGAATGCATTAAACAGTGTCGGATAGACGATTTATCGTAATACACATGACAACCTGTAGTCTTTAATATCGAAAGCTCGGTCGAAATTGTGCCATGCAATCTTCACGTCTTCAGTGATCTGCGGCATTTTGATCCTCGTCATCATCTTTCGCCATAAAGTCCGATAATGTTTCGTATTTAAAGCACCGAGCTCAATTTCGTGCATTAAGTACTTTTTCCACATTTGAGCGCCTTCCTCAGCTTCATGTTCTCTTTGAACCTTGAACCTCTGTACTTCTTCCAATTTAACTGCATTTTCCTCTTTTTCATTTGAAGTAGATATCTTTGTAAAAACATGCGTATCACATATAAAGAATATTTTTTATATACAGCAAAGACGTTTTCACAATGAACGTGTCGCTTTTATTGGCCTTTCTTTTAGCACTAATTTAATTGTAAAAATTAATGTAATATATAAAAATGTTATTTTATATATATATATATATATATATATATATATAAAATAACATTTTTATTTATCACATTAATTTTTACAATCAAATTAGTGCTAACAGAAAGAATTACTCACCACTGAATGCATTTTTTAAAATTAATGATTAACAAAATGCGTAAGTGTAAAATTTTTTAGGCTAAATTTTTTTATACGAGGTACATGTGTGATTTTCTTATTTTATACGAGTGATCTGTTTTCTGTTCCTGCACTAGACTACTAGAACTCTCTCGCTTTGAACAAATATCGACCATATACCTACCTCACTTTTATCCATTTTTATCAAAATTAACTTTTATCTCGATTCAACTTGCTCTTTATCATTTTCCAGTTCTAAAAATTAGAGAAAGATGAATAGTAGTAAATTAAACCATAAGTTCTAAAAACGTACAATAGGGGTGTATTCCGTTTCACACATGTATGATGCGCATAATACATCATTTATCTTTGTTATACATCGATATGATTAACAGTAGTCAAGAAAATTATTATCAAAGAATTTATTAAACTAATTTAAAATTAAATTACTGTAAAATTCTAAGTTTAAACTACTTTTATAAAAATTATGAAATAGAATTTAAAAAATTATTTAAAACGACGCAATATTTTTTCTGATTTTTAATTTTACAGTGAACAATATTTCTAGAAAACCATTAACATACATTATTAAAAAAAACTTAAGCAATCGAAAAATAGAAGAAAAAATAAATGTTCTTTTAAAAGTAAAATACAAAAGTAAATTTTTTGTTAAAAATGTTTAAAAAATGCTTATTTTATTATACTTTTCTTTTAAAAGTATGAGATAAAAACTTTTATATTACAAATGTTTTAAAAATGTTTTTAAAACTAATAATAAAAGTTTATTTTATTTTCTATTTATATTTTATTGTACTGTTTGTAAAATAAAATATTTAAAATTTTTCTTCGTTTTTATTCAAAGAATCTCTCTGTCAGGTTTTTCAAAAAGTGATCGGGAAAAGTCAGGGAAATCTTTTTTTCTTTTTCACTAACCCATGACTGATCAAATTATTGATATTAGTCATATAAAAATCTCCGAATTGACTATAAAAGGAATAAAAAATCCTTTTACCGGATTAAAGTATACACACAATTAGAAGATGCTGCAGTAGATTTTGTACTCAAAACAAAAAAAGTATTGAACTTTTTTCGATTTTAGTGTAAAGTCCACTGCAACACTTCCTAATTTTGCGTCTACTTTAATCCTGCAAAAGGCTTTTTGATTCTGTTTAGTCAATTCAGAGATTTTTGTACGACTGTAATGTCAATAATTTGGTCACTTCAGCATCCTATTAATTTGTAATATTACTATAATACTTAAGGTAAATGTACCGGTTAATGGACAGTTAAGGAATTGCACTACGAAATCATTTATTTAAACTTTAGAAACATTAAAATTTTAGTTTATTACACATGCTTAGTAAGAATGGATGTTTTCTGAAACTAAATCCATTATCAAATATGTTATTTGCGTTTATTATAAATTGTATTTAGTCATAAATATAATATGATTTAAATGTTCTAATTATTGGACAACAAATGTGACGAGTCTCTGTGTCCACAAAAGTATGACCCAATTATTGGACAAATAATAAGCAATTTTTTTATTATAGTAAGAGAATCGCATTTTACTTACTTATCAATCAAGATTGTACAAAAAAGTTTATCAAAATTGTAAAATTAGTGAAGTTTTATATGTAATATAATACAAAATATGTTTTTTAATCATTCAGTAGACAGGTACGCTAAGGAATGTCCAATAATTGATACACGCATATGTGTGAATGTCCTAATAAATGGACGATTGTCCATAAACGAAATTTTTTTTACAAAAGTATAATTTGTAATATGAATAAATTATATAATACTTAATTTCTAAATAATATGAAAAATTGCTTAAAAATTTATTTAGAGTAACACATATCGTCAAAAGCTTAATATTTAAAATTGTCACAATTTGTCCAACAATTGGGTCATGTCCACGAAGTGGTACACTTACCTTACAATAGTTTAGTTGTGTTTCTAAATCCGAATTAATTCTACGCGCAGTTCAAATGACTATATACATATGTAGTATATAAATTCACATGAAAATATTTAAGCAATTAAGATCCAGCTTTGACCGTTAAAGGCTTTATTTTTTACTTGTATGTTAAAACAATTAATCTTATGATTTTATTTTATCCAATTTTTATTTACAAATAGTACATAATAAAAATTAACGTGTCACTTTCGTTTGACGTTACTACGATTCAATATGGCTGTGATGACTACTCAGGAGCCTTAAAGTTAAATTGCTAAAATAACTGACAATGAGTAGTATCATAACTAATAGTATAATAAAACGACAATTTTAAATGCTCATTTAAATTATTAAATTTTAAAAAAAGGAATTTGTACGTGTTATCTTAATATAAATACAATGGATACAGTCTGCACATTCCTTGATCATAGCATCTGTGCTTTGTTAGAACGCAATATATTGATTCACATCTCTCTTCAACTCGATATTTAAGTGAGTGAGGCAGAGAGGAGAAGAGGGAGATGTAGACCCACACAGCTACTTAATTCACTCTTTCTAAAGCGATAGTGATAACTTTATAGGAAAAAAAATGCACAGTTTATACTTAACTGTGTTCGGGAAGCGCATCATCAACGCTATCGGCTGTGGCATTCTATCTCTATAATACATTAGATATAAAATAAAAATAGAATAATGTAGCGCTAATAACGCACACAGCCTTTCCGAACACAGCCGATATTTATCTTTAAATATATTCAAAAAAATCATATTTAAATTATACTCAAATTATACCATGAAAATAAATTCAACTTATATATCCTTTTTAAGTCTCTGTATGTACATATGTATATGCACGTTGTATGTCGTGCTCCGCTATATTTAATGACAGAAAAACTGATAAGAGCACAGATAAGGATATAAGAGCGTGTACTACATTTTCTTCTCTAAATATAATAAAAACAAACTCGCAAAAATAAACGGAAACAAAATATGCTTATTTCGATATCGTCTTATCAATATGAAAATTTCTTACAACTACAATTTCCCTAAATTTACTTTAAAGATGTATAAAGATTTCGAAATAAATTGCCTTGAAGATTTGTAGATACTTAACGCAGAAAATTTTACAATATAAATATAGATATTACACCAATGTTTATCATACCAATAAATGCGTAATTTGTAAGAGTCACTAAAAGGTGAATTAACTACATTAAAACCACGATATGTTACATCGGATTTTAACGATGTTCACCACAAAATAAAATGTTTCGAATATATTATCGATTTTAATATCTAGAGTTATCGCATTACGCAAGAGAAAAAGGTTAAACTTATAGCTATAGTATATTTTATATATTATATACACATAAATACAGAGTGTTCCAAAATATTTAGGATAACACTTGTGTACAGATAAAATAAAGTCTACTTCATAGATTAAACTGAGTCGAAAAGTCCACTACCATTTTGTTATAATTTTCGCAATAGTTAACAATATTGATTATAATTATAAATATTGCTGAAAAAGCGCGTTCAACAGGTCCATCAAGTATACGTCCATCGATCGTGATGGCTATGCGTGCAGTGATGTTTACTACACAAATGGTAATAGTTGCGCACGACGATAAAAGAAAATAACTGCCTGCATCATATCTTGCTGCGCGCTTACATTTGGCGATAAATAAGCCGGATGGATACATACTTAAGCGACGTGTATAATAAACTTTGAGATACGTAAATTTTAAACTTTTAAGTCCTACGCCATGAAAAATTAATCAATCACAATATAAGAAAAATAATCGGTCATGATCGATTAAATTTCTTACGACTAGGCTTCAAAAGCTTAAGTTTTATATTTTAAAAATCATTGTAAACACTACATTATTTAGCGATATTTAAAAATTAATATCTTATTATCTATACTACGAAAATTGCAAAATAGTAGAAAACTTCACAACTCAGTTTAATCCGCTCTACCTGCACAGGAGTTTTCCTAAATTTTCTAGAATACCCTGTGTGTGTGTGTGTGTGTGTGTGTGTGCGCGCGCGTGCGCATATGTGCGCCACACACAAAACACATACATCCAAGACATCCTATTTTAATTTACCTAAAAATATTTTTGTTATATATTTTAGAAAAAATGTTTTGGGCGAAAGTAGAACGGGTTTTGAAGACGTTGAATATTTTGATCATCCTGTTCTCTTTTAACAAAAGACACCAAAAAGAGATGAAAATTGAAAATTACCTATACTTCTTTGAATAGAATTATATGATTTTGTTTACATGATGCGATTTCTTTAATAATTCTGCATAAATAAGTATCGAGATATAAAAAAATTAATAGTTTGAAAGATATAAATACATCGCTGTGTGTGATCTTAGCACGAGACACTACCGTCTCTTGTGATTTTAGTTTGGTTTTAACACTTTATGTTAATACATATTGACATAAAATGTTAAATATTTCATAAATTATTTTTTTTAATCGTATCTTAATAACAAATACTTTATGAACGGAATAATGAGATAAATAAACTAATGCAAAAACATATAGTTACTGAAAAAAAATTTAAACAAAATGTATAATTTTTAAATAAACAACAATGTATTTTCTTTACACCAATTGATTAAATTTATTGTTCTGTTTATAAAAGTAATAAAATTAAGGTATGATCATCAAAAAACCAATAGTTTACGAGAATCTTATACTTTATTCCCTCCCTCCCTCCCTCCCTCCGTGTGTGTGTGTGTGTGTGTGAGAGAGAGAGAGAGACACACATTGATATAAAATATTAAATAAAGTATTAGTTTTTTGATATCGATATCTTCATACTTTTATATGCTGCAGAATTGTTAAAGGAATTATATTATGTATAAAAAATCATATCATTTTATTTAAAAAAGTGGAGATGATTTTCATATCTTTTTATATAGTGTCTTCACCTAAACAAAAAACATAACCGAAGCACGTCCCTCTCGAGACCGTTTCACTTTCATTTAAAACATTTTTTCATCAATCAAAAACAAGCGAGTTATTCAGGTAATCTGTTTTAAATGCTTCACCGTGTAT